GGAAATACTATTGATTGGCTAGTAGGAAATACTATCGTCTAGAGCATGTATTAAGAAACTCTATATAAATCAAGATGTAAATAAACAACAGTTTCCTTCATTTATTGTGTTATTGGGTAAAACTATTAAAAAACAACAACAGAAAACTTTTTCCGTGTTTACATAATCTCATCTAAACACTCGGGAGATTGGGAGAATTCTCGAGAGTTTTGCAAATCCTCGCTCGCCGGAAGCGTGTTTTGCATAACTTTCGAGAATTCTATCGTTGTAGTAGTTCGCGAGTAGCCACGAGCGAGTTCACCGCACTTAAGCTTATGACCCCTCTCCCCTCCCCTGGCAACGTCGAGAGTAATGCAGTGTTTCTGAATGGTTCCAGCTTTCCTATCAATATTATAAAGAGTCCTTAGTATCAAAAAATTAAAAAAAGGTGTAGAGTGTTCCACTCATAAATTCCGTATGAAAGACTCTCCTTCAAAGAAGTTACCAACATTTACAAGCATATCTCATTCACAAAATAATTCTGAGCGCAAATCACGATCACCACTATGAGCTGTACCTCGTGAGTAAAAAACATTTTGTCAACTGAGATCACGAATATCGTTGTCGATAAGAGTAATAGACCACACTCAATCACTGTTGATTTGTTAAGTTTTAAAGGGGTAAGTTTCTAAAGAAATTGCGGTGCTGCGTCGGTGGGGAAGTAAACTATGGTGGCTAGCACGGTAGCCTTTTCAGTATCGTGATCACACCTCACATTTCTTTGTCTACTGTAGGAATTTGGTGCGATACAAAGAGAGTTTCAGTTGGGTGGGGAGAGGGGCAATGGGCGACTAATGCACGCCTTTTTTCACCGAAAGTGTCAGCCACATATCATCTGACAGTGAAATATTTCCCTTAGAAATTAAATAAGAAGAAAGAAAAAATATAGAAACATCTTAATCGTTATAACTCGACCTAATAGCCATAACACCGACAAATATATCCAAATTATTTCGTTACTCCCACCGACGCAGCCCCAAACAGTTTCTTTCGAAACTATCAGCCCTTACCATAATCTACGATATGGTAAGCGTACGCGTCAGATTAAAATTAAAAGGGAGCTAAAAGTTTAATAAAATTTATTAATTTAAAGTAACGTTCAGTTTTTAATAAAACAATTATTCCACTCGCGCTTGTTGGATATGAGATGATTATAGCCCACTCGGCGCTACGCCCTCGTTGGCTAGCTATCATCTCATATCCAACGGTCTGTCTTGCTGGTCGCGTCGGGCCTGACGGCTTGTATGTAAAATAGTTTACGTTCGATTCAGATCACGACGACGCGGTGAATCCTATTGGCGGGAAAATTTTACATAGCGCCAGTTTGAGATCAGCTCACCAAACATCGCAGCCATACAAGCAAGCACAGTACGCGGAAAGGTTCTTAGCCTTTTTTTCTTTTGTAATAAGAAATTATGCCAAAGTTAAGGGAGAACAGGATCTCCCTTCTTTATGCGTACGATTCAAGTGTCATAAATGATGAAGAAATTGTTTTGCTTTACGATATCAACACTGCAAAAAGCCCTGACTTTCCTTACTGGAGATACGAAGCTTTTGAACTCGACATGGTGTCTGACGATGAATGCCAAGCTGAATTTCGCTTTTACAAGAATGATGTGAATAACTTAAGAGAAGTCTTGACTCTCCCAGAGGAATTTACATGCTATAATGGCTTGACAGTAGATGGCATTGATGGTCTCTGCATCTTTTTAAAACGATTTGCTTACCCTTGCCGCTATCTTGACATGATTCCAAGGTTTGCTAGGTCTGTGCCTCAACTTTGTATTACAAGTAATTTGGTTATGGATGGTCCATATACGAATGAGCAAAGGCTGATAGTTTCGAAAGAAACTGTTTGGGGCTGCGTCGGTGGGGGTAACGAAATAATTTGGATATATTAAAGAGCTTGCATTATATAAAAATAGAATGTTTGGTCTTTTGAAATGTCTACTTCACACAAATTATCCCTTTTTCTACAAAATTTACAATGTGACTATGGTATAATAAGGATCACACTTTCATAACATACTTAAAATTTCTGCATTCTGCAAAGTTATGGCAGTCTCAACAAGCAAAACCCTACTAATGCTCATAAAAAATGGAAATAATGAATGCTCAGTTTCAAAATAATTTAAAAGTCAAAAGTGCCTCTAAGCATCCTTTGGCTTGAATGCAACTTGCAGTAAAGTTAGCAAAGCGGTGTTCTGCACTTGCATTTGCTGTAGGAGCTGGTCCTGCTGTTTTTATTGGCTTTTGATGCTGTCTAATAACACCTTTGCCGTGAGACTCTCTTGCTTTATCATGAGATTTTCTTGTTGGATTTTTTTTTACATCAAGCTCAGCCTTGCTTAATTGAAGCTCCTCTCTTTTCAGGCTGGCATCGAATTCAGCCTTTTCTCTTAAGTAAGCGACATTTTCAGTGCCAGTGGAACGCTTGCATTTCTTTTGTTCTTGTTCACCCTTCCTCTTCTTGCTCTGAGAAAATGTTTCCATTCAAGCCTTTTTGCGGTCTCTTCCTCTGCCTTTCCCCTTTTTTATCTGAATCCAGTTGCTGATCTTCAGCATCTCTCTTTGAATAGTTAAATAATTTCTGTCATAGACTCATCAAATGGTGTATGTTGCGGGGCAATCCCACTGGCCTTTTCTTCTTCTCTTATTTTATACTTCTGTTCTTTCTCTAGCAGGATGTAGTGATCACGTATAGATTTCTGATTCACAGTAAACCTAGGAGATTCATGCTCATTTAAGGACTCACTTATTCTCTCCCAAACTTGACCTCGCTCTTTACTTCCTCGTTTGTACTTCCAAGGTTCAAACAATAACATCATTGTGTTGATCAGTCCACACCATTGGCCTTTTAACACTGCCGGTAAGGGCAAATATACTGTGAGGAAAAAGTTACAGAAACAATATAAATAGATTTGTTGTTTCCATTGTTACATGCGACTTCACTTTTCTATAAATATCTTCCAACTAAAAAATTTGAGTGAGCTGCAAAAAATATTCATTAATGGTATGTTGCTAAACAAATAACTTACATTCGCTCAAAACTCTTACATTAAAATTTTAAACTTAAGATCATCAACATGGCTAAGAGACGGCTAGTCGAAATCAATTCAAGACTTCATTTCAGAGAACAGATGATTTAAAGAATGACAATTTCATTAAAGCAGTCAAAGGAAAGATTTATAGTTTGATAATTCAACAAACAGCCCTTTAATTTCGAGAGCAAAAAACCTTTAAGGTTACAAATGTCAGAACTCTTTTTTTCGCTCTTGCTATTTTTTAGTATGACTGGTTTTGTTGACCGATTTGCCTGGATCCCTTCGTAATTTAACGTGAGCAGAAAATTATTTTCGAGACTGAGCCCTGATTTCCGAAGGGCTCCAAGAGTAACACAATAACTACACACAACAATCATGAGACTAAATTTAGCCTTGGAATTTAGCCAATTTGATTCAGAGTAGAAACGGATTAGAAAAAGATACAACTGAAAATTAAGTTGACTCAGAAAAGAATGAAATATTCTAAGAAATACATTTGTCTTGTTTTCGGAACAGTGCGGTCATTGACTGCTGGTTTACAAACAACGAAGGCATCTTTAAAATGCGTACATACTCCTTCGATGCCTCCATCCTGCAAGACGCCTTCTAAATGGCAGATCTTCCCGCCTCGCCGTCAGCCGACGTCGTCATGCTACGACTGGCGCATGCGCAGTTATGTGCCTTCGGCCGCGGCGCTTCGAACATTTTCGGATCTTAAACTCACTATTTAACAATTATTCCACGAGCGCAGGTTGGATATGAGATGATGGATAGCCAACGAGGCGCGTAGCGCCGAGTTGGCTATAATCATCTCATATCTAACAAGCGCGAGTGGAATAATTGTTTTATTAAAAACGCCCCCAAGATATTAGGCAAATCTTTATATCAGACAAATTTTTAGCTCCCTTTTTAATTTCAAGCTGACGCGTACGCTTACCATATTTGTAGATTATGGTATATATTTAAGCTTCCTGTGATGGGATAGCGTTTCGACTGATGAGAGTAGGAATGGGGGAGAGGGCAATTTCTCCTCTTTCGGCGTTACCATGGGCAGCAAAATGTATCAGGCTCACCGAACTGCACGATCTGCTTGGTTGCTTCCTCTTCTACCAAGGGTGGAACGCCCACCAGTCGTTCAACCATTTCCGCTTCCTTTCCTGCACCTGGCAACGGCGGAAGCCAATCAACCCTGAGATTGCATATTATCAACGCACCAGTGTTGCTATGATAGTCCTCCGGACTGTCTTGAATGATCTTGAGTGTCGTCAAAGAAGGAATGATCCGGATCCTATGCGTCTCCGAGAAGTATTCGGCACCCTCCTTTTCACTCATGGCAGCAAAGGGAACTTTGTAGAAACTGCGGTCAGGAACAATAATGACTTCAGGCTCCTCAAACAAATCATAAAGTGGGGAAATAAAAAAATTGCAACACAACGATAGACTTGAGATGACTTCCTCGTCCTCCTCCACGAGTCGGAATCTTGCTGAGCTCTTTTGTTCAGGGGAAAGAGATTGCGATTCAACCATATTTAAAGACCGATCTTCACACTCTTCGATGGGAAAAGTACCAAGACTCCAGAAATTATCAGCCAAAACGTTATTCAAAGACAAATCTTTGGGCAACCCAGCCTGAACGAGAGTCTTTTCAATGCATAGATGAAGGCACGAAAGAGAATCTTTGATTTTATTTTGAGATAAATACAAAAGAATGTAGGCTTGAAAAACCTCGAACTCTTTTCTTCTATTTCCAATATCCCTGAATATGGACAATGCTCTCTCCAAGCATACTTCCGAAGTTTCATAATCTCCGAGATTTGTAAAGAAAAATCCAAGTTTTGCAAGATTTGCTGCTTCCCCCTCCTTATGACCAATTTCACTACTAATGACAAGCGCTTTGTTGAGATATTTCCCGAGCAACTAAAACAGAGAACCTAAGTTTCCGTAGCTGACTGCCTTCCCTTTCCTGTCATCAATTTCAGTTCTGATGACAAGAGCTTTTTCGTGATGCTCTTTAGCCATGTCGTATTGCCCAAGAGACAGAAGAAGAGTACCAAGGTTTCCGAGATCAACAGCCTCTCTTTCTCTTTCGCCAATTTCAGTTGTGACGACAAGAGCTTTTTCGTAATACTCTTTTGCCTTGTCGTATTTCTCGAGTGAGTGAAACAGAGTACCTAGGTTTCCGTAGTCGGATGCTTCTTCTATTCTGTCGCCAATTTCAGTTCTGATGACAAGAGCTTTTTCGTAATACTCTTTGGCCTTGTCGTATTGCTCAAGCGATTGAAACACAGTTCCAAGGTTTCCGTAGCTGGCTGCCTCTCCTTTTCTGTCGCCAATTTCAGTTGTGATGACAAGTCCTTTTTCGAGATACTCTTTAGCCTTGTCGTATTGCTTAAGCGAGTGAAACACAGTGCCTAGGTTTATGTAGCTAGCTGCCCCTCCTTTTCTGTCGCTAATTTCAGATGTGATGACAAGAGCTTTTTCGTGATACTCTCTAGCCTTGTCGTATTGCCCGAGCGACTGAAACACAGTTCCTAGGTTTCCGTAGTCGGATGCTTCTCCTTTTCTGTCGCTAATTTCATTTCTGATGACTAGAGCTTTATCGTGAAACTCCCTAGCCTTGTCGTATTGCTTGAGGGAGTGAAACACAGTACCTAGGTTTCTGTAACCGGCTGCCTCTCCTTTTCTGTCGCCAATTTCAGTTTTGATGACAAGAGCTTTTTCGTGATACTCTTTAACCTTGTTGTATTGCCCGAGCGACTGAAACACAGTACCAAGGTTTCTGCAGATGGATGCCTCTCCTTTTCTGTCGCTAATTTCAGTTGTGATGACAAGAGCTTTTTCGTAATACTCTTTAGCCTCGTGGTATTTCCCAAGCGACTGAAACAGATTACCTAGGTTTCCGTAGTTGGCCGCCTCTCCTTTTCTGTCGCCAATTTCAGTTCTGATGACAAGTGCTTTTACGAGATATTCTTTAGCCCTGTTATATTGCTCGAGAGACTCAAACACTTCGCCTAGTTTTTCATAACAATCTGCTTCTCCCTCTCTGTCGCCAATTTCAGTTTCGACGACAAGCGCTTTTTCTTGCAACCACAAACACCTCACAAAATCAAGACGTGGAAAATACTGGCCGTGAAAACAAAGTGAAGGAATTCGAGCAGAGTCGGGCTACCCGCGATGCAGTTATCCCTTTAGGAAAACTGTCTGGAGCGCACTCAATGGAAATAACACAAGCGATGTACACACTTGTCAGAGACTACCTAATAGCTCAGATTGTGATAGACAACGCGAATAGAGCTGGGGTAGTTGCTTTCATGACTGTGAAGGAATTTTAGCGGGAAAAATTGGAAGAAGGCTGCTATGTCGTACAAGTTCTCCACCATAAGACTGTGGATACACCTGGTCGTGCGCAAGTGGTCCTTACGGTACATTTGTACAATTGTCTTGATATTTTTCTGAAGGAACTTCGCGCAAAACTTCCATGTTCACAANTAAGACACTGATATTACAAGAACTTGTTGTCACAGTTGAAAACAATAGGCTCGTAAACGTTAAAAGTGCAACACTTTTAGGTGTAACAATTGATAGTTCACTTTCATTTGAATGTCATGTTGAAAATCTTTGCAATAAGCTTACCTCACACATAGGTGTTTTGAGTAAAATCAGAGTCTTTCTTTCACTTAGTCAGCAATTCTTGTTCTATAATGCCATTATTTGCACAGTAATGAGCTACACTGCCCTCACTTGGTCATCATGTGACAAGGAATCAGTTTTCAGGGTCTTGAAATTACAGAAGCCTGCAGCTGGAATCATTTTAGATGCAGGCCACCTAGTACCCTCTGTGACATTCTTTAATAAGCTGGGATGGATAACTTTTTATGAACAGAGTAAAATTAACAAATGTGCTATTTTTTATTAGTGTGTAGATGGCTCTCTTCCAAACTATCTCAATGATCATTTAACAATTAACAATACACAACATGACAGAAGCATGCGGTATGCTAGCCATAATTCTATCTGTCCTGATCTCTGTCAATCACAGCCCCAGTTATGTCATCACACGTTTCTAGCTGGCCTTCAGGAAGCAAAAGTTTGGCCTCGTCAGGCAAAAAAGCTTTTGTGGTAGGCCTAGGTCCTACGCCTGTTCCGGAAAAATTGGTAAAAAAGGATAACGAATGGTGAGTTTGTTGAACTGGCTGACATCTTGTTGATGAATCTGAAAGCAGTCAACCAGGAGCCCCACACATTTCTGGATGGCAAGCTTCTGGTCTCAAAAAAGAGACTGGTTGAAGTTGAAGACATCCTTACCTGGACGGAGGCCTTAACTATCTTTCAAATGTGTACCTGCCATCCCCACAGCTGGCCAGACTTAACAGAATACAAGTTGCTGATTATCCAAACAGCTCAAAAATCACCAGGTCGGGCCTGGCTCAGGACATTCAATATAGACATTACATGACTGCATACCTTTGCCTGTACTTTCCAAGGTCAGTGTTATTCCTTTTTAAAGAACAAAAATACCGGTAACTGCATTTATGTGTAATCAAAAGTAATAACAATTAATTCCCTCTAAATAATTCTTTTTTTTGTGACCCACATAAATATCAAAGATGAAACATGCATGAAAGAATGTTCTTAAATATAGTCATTTTCATAGAGTTGTGGGAACATGGAACTCTCTTCACCTTTTCATTCCCTAGGCAACAAGTGTAGATTCTTTTAAAGTCATAGTTCATGGATTAGTTCTTTCTCTTAGTGTATTTATTGTTTAATATTTATATTTATTATTACCATATTTTAATTTTCATCATTATTT